AGGGGAAGCAGCGGGCGGGAGGGGAGGCCTGGGCCACACGGTGTCCTGAGGGGGGGCGGGAGGGGGAGCGGCCTGGTGGCCGCCGGCGGCTGCTGTGACGGCCATTCCAACGGCCATTCCAACGGCCATTCCAACGGCCGCGCTGGCGGGTAACGGCTGCGCGGGGCCAGGCGAAGCCGGCCGCCTCCTCCGCTGCCGCCTCCTCTTCCTCGTGGCCGCCGTTTTGTTGTGGTGAGCGGCGTGGCTGCTGGCCCCGCCTTGGCGCTGCGGCGGCCTCGCCGCACGTGGGGCTGCCGCGCCGCGGGCCTCGCTCCTCGGCACTGCCGCGCTCCGAGCGCCCCTGAGCTCCCAGTCCKGGTCGCGGGAGGAGTAACCGTCCAGAGGTGCTTGTTTCTTGTGGCGGACTGAAGGTGAGCGGCCAGAAGTGGGTGAAGTGCAGATGAATGCGCTTTTGGAGAAAGTCCATGTCGTGTTAGACATCAGGAATGCTGCTTGAAGCTGTGGACCTCCAGGCAAGCAGCCCTGATGTGCAGGGAATGGCCCAGGGGGCTCGTTTTTTGAGTTTTGGTTTGGCTTGCTTTGCTTTCTTGCTGCTAATGCTATTCCCCAGCTTCTTTTGCCTTTATTTGGATTCCAGGTCAGGATTTATCTAATCTGAGAAATAAGTTCCCAGGTTTCCAGGCTCTTTGTCAGTCTGCTCTCTGGTTGTAGCAGGGTGGCATCCTGCTACCCCACAGAGGGGTTTTTCTCTTCCTGCACGTACAGCTTCTGAACTTAAGATCAACTCTGGACTAAGCCATTTCCATAGAACATGAACTTTTCCTCAAAGTCAATCCTTTTTCCTCCTGAAACCCAAGCTGAATGAGTTATGGGCTCTAGTTGCCAGAGTTTGAAGCTTTGTCCTCTGTGCTGGAAGCACAGAGCGGTGACTTTAGCTCTTACAGTTGATGGTGTCTGTGCAGCTTGTGTTGCTGTTAGCAGAGAAGGTGCCTAGAAGGCCATAGTTGTATCTGTTCCTTGAGCTTTTTCCCCTGTAGCTGCAGCTGTGTGTGTTTGTCCTGTGAAAAGAGAATGTGTCATGTGAAATACCTGTAAAGGAACCGGGGTGAGGGAGGGAATTTATTCTGTGAATTCACACTTTTGCATCTGGCTTCATTACATGGCCTCCACACTCAGCAGCACCTATCCGTGGTTCAGAGGGTCTTGGCAGTGAAGACAGCCTTGTTGTGGGGTGTAAAATGCTTGTTTTAGAGCTGCCTGATTCTTTTGGTAGCCGACGTCTCCCTTCCACAACAAGACTTCGTCTTTGGAGCGGCTGGGGGAGGAAGATGATGAGGACGAGGATGACGACTTGGACATCTTCGGAGGTTACGACAGCTTCCGCAGCTACAACAGCAGCATGGACAGTGACAGTAGCTCGTGTCTGGATGAGTCTAGTGATGAGGAGGTGGACCAGGAAGTTGGAGAGCTTCCTGCCTCCCCTCTGCACCAGCACCTGCCATCCACGGGCCGAATGACAGAGGACAGTGGCTCTGAGCCAGGTACTGTGCTGCCTTCCTACTCCTGAAGCACATGTGTGATGGGGAGCACAAGGGCTGGAATTGTACTGGGGGAAGCCAAAGGGCACGAGATGGCTTCTTGGCTATGGTTTGGGAGTAGACCTGGCTTGAAAGTAGGTTTTCTGGGTTACCAAGGGAGCTGCTGGGTGCAGACAGGGCTACCTGGGCCTAATTAGTCTCCTAGATCAGACTGCTCCTCTTTGTAGCTCATCAACCTTGCCAACTGCTCACATTTTTTTTTGTGCTTTCCCACTCCTGCCAGCCGTGTGTGAGATGTGTGGGATCGTGGGCACCAGGGAGGCTTTCTTCTCCAAGACCAAACGCTTCTGCAGTGTCTCCTGCTCCAGAAGCTACTCTTCAAACTCCAAAAAGGCCAGCATCCTCGCTAGGCTGCAGGTGAGTCAAAATCTTTTGACATCCCAGCAGGATGGGCCTGTACACAGCAGAGGTGCTTGCTGCCTAGTGAGACAGCTGACAGTTACCATTACCAGTGGCTTGTTATTCTGGCTTGTGATTCCCTAGAGAAAATGTGCCAGCTGAAAAATGACACTTCCTAGAAGAAGAGCACGATTACGTTTACCTGCTGTTTCCTACTTCTTTGAGTATTAGTAAACATTGCAGTGATCTTAAAATCATCCCAAGACAGAGGTTTCCCCCCTACTGGCTAGCTGCAGGGCTTGGTTCCTTTCTTCTGCTCCTTGGTTCTAATTTTCCTCCCTTTTTAGGGGAAGCCACCAACGAAGAAAGCTAAAGTCCTGCACAARGCAGCCTGGTCTGCCAAGATTGGGGCCTTCCTGCATTCTCAGGGCACGGGGCAGCTGGCAGATGGGACGCTGACGGGCCAGGATGGTGAGTGTGAGCAATGCAGGAGGAGGTGCAGTTGGGAGAGGCCCAAAACCAGGGACTCCTGGAGGGCTGTAAATTCTGCAGTCCTCTCCCTGCCCTCTGTGTACAGCCTTACACCAAAGCCATGTGTGTGGCTCAGCTTAACGCGGGGCGTCGGGGCCGTGTGYTCAGCGCCTCTCCTGCAACGCCCTCACTTGATGTTCTTCTCTCATGTCCACCCACAGCTCTTGTCCTGGGCTTTGACTGGGGAAAATACCTGCAGGAACACGGCTTCAAGGCAGCTCCAGTCAGCTGCTTCAAACATGTGAGTCCTCCTCCCTTACCAGGCTTTGCGTTGTGCACGGGATATGTGTGTGCAGGGCTCTCCTGTGACAGGCAACAGGGAGAGACTGAGGAAGCCGGTTACTGGTTTCCAAATGATTCAAGGAGGGAAGTTGGTGGCTCCTTCCTGCTGAGGATGGTGGCCCACAGAGAGTTCTGGAGAGGAAGTAAATGGGGACTTGATAGCAGCACTGCCAGAGGTGATGGGTCAGTGCTGGCTGGGGACAGAAGCAGTTCTGGTGCCAGTGGATCAGGTAGCAGAAAGTTTCTGCTGCTTTTGCATGTTGCCTGGCAGGGTAGGGACACCCCAGGATGATGTGCAGGGAGGAACTTGCCTCATCTGGGCCTGGGTAACCTGCAGCTGCACCTCCAACGGATGCACTTTCTGTAACATTGATTTGCAGTCCTTGAGGGCCAAGTAGCCAGGGCACTTCAGTGGAAGAGTGGTGATTCTGGGGTATTAGAGCAGCCCTGTCCTCTCYGCATATTAAAACTTACCTTTTCCACTTCTTTTGAGTTGCAGTCTGCGGTGTAGTATTGACCAAACTTTGTGCCTCTTGAGGATATGTCAAGAAAACATGGCACTTTTCCTGATGATTAAGGACCTGGATGCTGTATAGCAATGGCAGCAGCTACTTTGGGATAATAGGAGAGCTGGCAGTGAAGTGTTTGCTATGTGATTTTCTGTCTTTGGGGATGCTGCACTAAAGATCCACTGGGGTGGCTGGGACAGTTCATTTGTTTATTTGTGTTTCTGACTAGCAGTGGATTCAGGAAGGGCAAAGCATACAAATGTGGTGAACGTACAGCTGCCTAGAACGTGACTTTGAAAGGCAGAACAGGTCTAACTGTGACCATAAATGTCTCCCTCCCTTCATGGCTGCCTCAATTCCTCAGGTGCCACTCTTTGATCAGTGGGACGATGTGGTGAAAGGTATGAAAGTAGAAGTGCTGAACAGCGATGCCGTGCTCCCCAGCCGAGTGTACTGGATTGCCTCTGTCATCCAGACTGCAGGTATGCCTCCAATGTAGCACCAGTGGCCAGGCATAGCTGACTTCAAGGAGAAGCTTTAAAGAGCTGAGTATAGCTGCTCGGGCAAAATACTAGCTCTTTAGAGCACCACACCTGCTGAGAGATCTATGAACTGGAACTATCATGGTTTGGGGTGGAAGGAAACGAGCATCTGGATGTTCTTCCAGTTACTGGGCTCTTTGTGGGGGTGGCTTTGCTCCCAGGAGAAGGCTTGGAGAATCCCTGATAACCTATGGAAAACCATGTGGAAGGGGATGAGCCTGTGTTGCCCAACAGGGAGAGGASAAATGCTTGGTGTTTAATGCCTTTTTCTGATTGTCCCCTCTGTCCTGGCAGGATACAGGGCCCTTCTACGATACGAGGGCTTTGAGAACGATGCCGGCCACGATTTCTGGTGCAATTTGGGCACAGTGGATATTCATCCCATTGGCTGGTGTGCCATCAACAGCAAAATCCTGGTGCCACCACAGAGTGAGTGTGACAGGAGAGGTCAACATGTATCTTGGTTCGTTTCTAGCACAAGACCTTCCCATCATGTGTGGGACTGCAGCTTCACGTGCACTCGAGTTATGAGACATTTAGTCTTCTGGAAGCAGGGGGACTTTCCCTGCATCTCCCTGTGGCTGTTACAAAGGGTGCTAGATGCAGATCTGATGTCGGACCTGTTCCCAGAGGCTAATGCAGGTGCCTTGCGACACACGCAGTGGCCAGACGTAGCCTTTGGGGGACCTCCATGGCCCCACGTTCCTGGCAGATGACTGGGAATATGCTGGCCACGGTCCCCACTCAGGGAGCAGCCCAGAGATGTTAATTGGGCAGGATTCTGGCAACGCTGAAGTGCATTAGGTGTGACTTAYGTGTTTTGCTGTAATACCACGTTTCATCTCGTCAGGGCAGTTGGGTCTCTGCTCACTGCATTTGGGGGCAGTAACGTGGGGGCAGGCTCACAGAGTCCATCTGCCTGCGAGTAGGTGCAGGAGCTGGATGTGAGGAAGGCCTTTTCGTGCAGATGGACTCTCCTCAGGAGGAAAGATCTAGCACCATGTTAAAACTCTGTCATAAAGATACCCATTTTATCCTGTGCTTGTACAGGTATCCATGCCAAGTACACAGATTGGAGAGGTTACCTCATGAAAAAGCTGGTGGGAGCCAGGACCATCCCTGTGGATTTCCACATCAAGGTAAATGCAGAATGTCTTGTGTGTCGGGGACGGAAAAACTTGGAGATGTGTGGAACAACATGTCTCCTGGTGCTGATGTCTGCAGTTCCTGCACAGGAGAATGGTTGCAGGGGAGGAGAAGGGAGGCAGTGAGTGCTTGGCTATGCTCAGAATATGCCTGTCRCAGTGCTCTGGGAAATGGCACGGTCCCCTGGCCCTGCAGGAACACTAGTTGTTTCTCCGTTGAGTCACAGAACGGTGTAGAAGCTGTTGTCACATAATTGCTGCAAAATACTGGGAATTAGTTTTATTTTGCTGAATGGGAGAAACCAAGGGAGTTCTGCCTGGCATAATTCTGCCCTATTCCAGGGCTATGCAAGTCAAAAAAACCTTTTCTGCAGCCTGCTGGGGAATGAGGGGCACAGAAACAGCTGTGCAAGTGGCCCTGGGAGCTTAGCAGCTCTTGTTGCAGTCCCACCTAGTCCACCCTGAGGTTAGGCATCCTCCAGGCAGGTGGGAGGAGAGAGTCTGCCCTGGCTGGCAGCTTTGGGGAACTGCAGATAAGGAAGATGGTCGCGGGAGTGGCAGGCACGACGGCAGGCGATGGCATTTGGCTCTCTGCAAGGTAATGGTAACTCTGCACTTGGAATAGTTAGTGCTTCCATTGCTGCTTCTTAGGAAATTGAGAGGGTTTTGGGAGCTTCTTGTTCCTGAGCTGTGTCACAGAGCTGCAGATTGCCATCATGGCAGGGAACTTCTCGACATGATGCCAGCATTGTTCTACTCCCAGCTTCCCCACTCTACTCCCACTTAATGGAAAACAAGAGATGGGAGAGGGGAACTTTCCCTTCAGGACTTCTCTGGACTCAGATGCGGGCCTGTTCGTGTGTCTGTTGAGCCCATCTCAAGCTGTGGCTCTCGGTACATCCACAGCACAACTATCAGCAAGCCAGAGGTTTCCAAAAAGGATGGGGAGAGCTGGTAAGAAACTGTAGGACAGGGGAGACCTGGGGTGCAAATGTCCAGCCATGCTGTTGGGTGTGGGGCTTGCAGCCTGCTTCCATGCATCCCTTCCCAGAGGTGTCTCCCCGTCAGCTTTGGGCAGTGCAGGGAGGTGGCCAGGATGTGTGTGGGGAAAGCTGCAGGGAGGTGTTTGGAGGAAGAAGACCCCAGAGGTGACCGCTCTCCCCTCCCTGTTATCTGTCGCCAGATGGCGGAGAGCATGAAGTACTCGTTCCGGCAAGGCATGCGGGTGGAGGTGGTGGACAAGAACCACGTGTCGCGGACACGCATGGCGGTGGTGGACACGGTCATCGGGGGCCGGCTGAGGCTCCTCTACGAGGACGGTGACAGCGATGACGATTTCTGGTGCCACATGTGGAGCCCTCTCATCCATCCTGTGGGCTGGTCGCGGAGGGTGGGCCACAGCATGAAGAAGACGGGTAGGGATCAGAGCACCACAGGCGTCTCCTGATTTGCAATGAGCTGTCTGATCTCTGCTGTTGGTGCCAGTCTTGACATGCTAGGAGCCAGGCGGTTGCCTTGGCATGAGGTGGATGAGGTCTGCCACACAGCTGCTGCTTTTCCCCCTCCATAGACCCACAGCTGAGCAGTTCATAGCACAGGGCCAGACACAGGGACTGTAGAGTTTCTCACGCGGAGCAGGTAGTCTYGCCCTGCCGTGTGAGAATGCCTAGCCTGTAACATCAGACATTGATGGGCTTTTTGAGAAAACGCACACTGGTTTCTGTAAGACTGGGTACCACCAGCTTCTGTTTTTCTGAGACTATTTTTCTGGAGGATTCTTGCTTAGAACAGCTTGCCTCTGGTTAGGCAGCCAGCAGAAGCCAGCCYTGAGCTCTGGAGCTGCTCACCTCATTGAGTCTTTTCGTTTTGTCTCCCTTGCTYCCTTGCTGCCACTCCCCGGTGATCACAGTTGCCCATAGCAGTGTTAGCACCGTGCCCAGAAAGAGCAACCACCTGCTTTGAGCAAGCTCTGCCTACCGGGCCACCTTATGGGAAGCTGTGGATTAACTGACRTATTTGTCCTTTTTATTACTCACATGGTCCCTTATCTAGCTCTTAGCACTGCTGAACTCTCACCAGATAATTAATAGACAGGCGTTTTCTCACCACACTTGCTTCAGGTTTTGCCTCACCTCTTTCTTCTGTTCCTCGCAGAGGAAAAGCGCAGTGACATGGCCAACCATCCCACCTTCCGCAAGATTTACTGCGACGCCGTCCCCTATCTCTTCAAAAAGGTAGGAGAGCACTCACTTTCTGTGGGGGCCGCAGCAAAGGAGGCGACGATACCACTTCCTCCTTGGGTATATGGTGCTCTGTGGGTTGCTGAGGGTGACTCGCTTGTCCCCTTTCAGCTATGGGACAGTGAGGTAACTGGGGTGTGAAGGCTCAGACTTGGCAGGGTGAGTGAAAAGAGAAACACGGAAGAACTAAAAGACCATGCCAGGTGGAGGGACTCTATTGAAGGGCGAGCAGCTGCTTGGAAGTCAGAGCGAATGAGGGAGACCAGAGAAGGGGTTGGATTGAATTGGTGTAAGGATTAAGATTGGGAGTAGATTTACTTTGCTGTGGAGCAGAGACTGGTCTCTGTGACTGGCCAAGGCTTTGGCAGGGACTGCTGACACAGAGACAACATTGGGCTGGGGCCTTCCTTGTATTTCTCTTTTATTTGTCGTTTCTCTCCCTTTCCACCTTGGGCTGAGCCAGCTAAAGAAGCTCTAATCCTGATTAAGCCTGGGGTGGTTAGTGTGTGGGTGAGACTCCTCCAGAGCACATGATATTCCTATGGTCTCCCCTAGGTACGGGCTGTCTATGCCGAAGGTGGATGGTTTGAGGAACGCATGAAGCTYGAGGCCATTGACCCCCTCAATCTGGGCAACATTTGCGTGGCCACTGTCCGCAAGGTAAGGTTGGCTGGAGAGYAGGGAAAGGGCTCTGCTGTGTGTGGCTGAGACATCTCGGCCTCTCCTCAGACCTTCGCAAACAGACAAGACTGGGTGGCAGTTCCTCTGAGAGAGGGCAGGGCTCTAAAGAGGGACTGTCAGGCAGGTAGGCAGCAAGCGTGTGGGCTATAAGCTCAGTGGCCCGACAGACTGATGAGACCAGCAGTTGYCCATGTGTGCCTCAGAAGACAGCATAAAGATGAGCTCGCAGGCCAAACACGCTCATCCTCCTGCTGTGCAGTCAGCAACCACCCCTCTGACTTCTGGACACTCGGCAGGAGAGATCTGCTCTTGCAGGAGACTCATGGCAGTTCCCAGGGGGCTAAAGAGAGGCCCCCGCAGCGCTGCTTTGAGGAGAGAAGGGCCTGGGGGAAGGGCTGTGAGGCCAGCTTTGCGTGGGCCRTGCCATGTAAGTTAACGGGTGGTGTTCCTCAGGATGGGGAGGTATGGGTGGGGGCCTCTCATGTGGTATTTGCTCATGGGGTGGCAATAAGCTCTGCTCCTGTGCTAATGGAGGGAGTAATGGGTCAGCCAGCTTTTCTCCATGAGACACTTTGGATGTTTCGAAGGGTAGTATTGCCATGAGCTTTCTGCTTCCTCAAGAAGCTGTCTGCTCTTCCTCATGCTGTTGGAAATAGTGCCCTTCCCTTCAGCCTTGTAACAAACCCATCACTGCCTGGGCTGTCATGAGGGTCTGTTTCTGAGAGAGGASAGAGCTCCTCACCATTTGTACCCCAGTTCTTTTTACACGACTATTGCTGTTATTCCCAGTCCTGCAGAAACAGCTGCTCTGAGGATTCACTTGTGCTGAGTAACATAGTCGAGAAGCTGCTCTGCATCCCGGAGCACACGATACTGCTTCCACTACCTAGTGGTGGTTGTGGTCCAGCCATGGTGGCTCTTGGAGCATCCACTGGCAGGAGAGGCTTTAGGGCAAGCTAAGCGGGCAGTTAATGCCCTTTCACTTCTGCTTCAGGTTCTCTTGGATGGGTATCTCATGATCAGCATTGATGGAGCCACATCTGCAGATGGCTCTGACTGGTTCTGCTACCATGCCTCTTCACATGCCATCTTCCCTGTCAACTTCTGCCAGAAGAACAACATTGACCTGACCCCTCCAAAAGGTGATATTTAGACCTGTCTGCACATGCGAATAGCCCTGCACTGGGCTGTGTTTTTCTGAGAAGTGTGGTTCCAGACCAGATAAACCAGAACCACAGTGTCCCAACCTGCCTGTTTTGGGAGAGATAGAGCTAGTTTGGAAGGCCTGTCCCCTTGAACTTGGCCTATATACCARATCTTTGTATTCAGTGGCAGGAAGCAACATCTCCAAAGGAGCATTAATGACCCGTGGGCTGGCTCCTGGAGGATGAGCAGGACAGATGTAGGGTCCCCAAATTTAAGAACAAAGAGTGAGAAGGGGTAAGCTGGAGACATAGCTGCATGGCTCAGTTTTACAAATGGCAGGACTTGCCCCACTCTTTTTATATGGATGAATGTGACACTGGTTTATTCTTGAAAAATACGGAGTTACAGTCACTTTAGGAACTCTGTTTATTGTCCTATCTAGCCATATGCCAAAAGGCCTGCTCTGAATATCTGTGTGACAGTGTTTTCARTTTCAGCCTCCTCTTCTGCTTTCCTTTTCATCTTTCTGCTGGTGGGAGAAAGAGTGGTCTTGTTTGTCCTCAACTTCTTGTCTGTCCCTTCCTCCCTTTTCTCTGTGGCCTGGCTACATGATGAATGTGGGTATTCGGTGTTTGCAGCTTGTGCTTTTTTCAGTTTCCCCACTGGGTGGGGGTGCTGCATTTCCATGGAGTCCATGCAATAGGTTTATGCTCAACATCAGCATGATTTGCAAGTGGTTGGTGTGTTTCCTTCCTGCCATGTTGTCTTTTCCTCCACTTGTCAGCATTTTTCCCCTCTGACTGTTTCTTCCTGCTGCAGGGCAAGATGCAAAGACCTTCAACTGGGAAAGTTACCTGGAAAAGACAAAGTCAAAACCTGTTCCAGCCCGGCTCTTCAACACGGTGAGTGGTGCCCGAGAGAAGAGGAGTGTGCAGGAGTGGCTGCAGTCAGCAGGGAAGAGCACAGGAGGTGTGGGCGCTGCTTCTGGGTTTCTCTGTGCCAGCAGTCAGCTCGTGTGAAGAGAGTCCAAGGCAGAGGTGTGAACTGCCCCTTCAGTAATGTCCTGTCTGACTGGTTGTGATGAGCAGCGTCATCASTTCATGGGTGGAGCCCTGTGGTGGTTGCTCTGAAGGGGACCTTCCATTCTCTAGTGTTACTAAGAGTTCTAGGCTGCTGGTGGGTTCTGCAGTGTTTCTTGCCTGTGGAAATACAGCTGGCACTTGGACTTTTTCTGATTTCCTGGCGTGGTTATGGGTTTCATCAGAAGTCCTTAACTGCTCCATACTGCTGCTCCTAGTTTAGGCTCTCATTTCTCAATTCTGTGTCAAGATTGACTCAGGATGCAGCTGGCCTTGGATCTGCTCATCAGCCTTCTTCTGCTATAGAGCTACGTGGGATATTGAAGTCCCTGGCATTGCTTGGCTGTGGAATTGTTCATCCCCTGCAGGCTTTAGACTGTTTTGTTTTCCTGCGACTAGGATTGCCCGAACCACGGCTTCAAGGCAGGCATGAAAGTGGAAGCAGTGGACTTGATGGAGCCGCGGCTCATCTGCGTGGCCACGGTGAAGCGCGTGGTGCACCGCCTGCTCAGCATCCACTTCGACGGCTGGGACAGCGAGTACGACCAGTGGGTGGACTGCGAGTCTCCAGACATTTACCCGGTGGGCTGGTGTGAGCTGACGGGCTACCAGCTTCAACCACCTGTGGCTGCAGGTGAGTGAAAGCTTCACTGCGGCTTCCTCCACCTCGAGCCTAGAGGCAAAGGTTTCCTTCCTCCTGCTCTGTGAGTTGCTCCTGCTTTTTTGGGCCTCGTGGAGAGGAGAAGCTCACCTCTTACCTGTGCTGGCTACTGCAAGTCCTTCTCTGATGCTATGCAGCCTCGCAGCTGGCAGAGAAGAATCTATGGTGGGGAGAAGACAGCCTGAGGCTTCAGTTTCCCTCAGTTTCCCCACTGCATGCCAACGGAGAGTTGCTCCTGCTGAAGTTGGGTAGGAGTTCCAGGTGGTCCTATCCCTGCACAGCCTCCCTTTTACTGAGCATACCCACAGCCTCAGCCAGCTAGCAGGGACAGCTCTGCCCTCACCTCCTCTTCTGTGTCCCTCCATTCTCTGCCTAAGTCTGTAAAGGTAAGAGCATCCCTCTCAAGAGTCCATTGCTTTCCTTGTCGAGGAGGGGGCCACTGCCTCACCTTTGCAGATGTTTTTCTTCTTGTCCCGAGCTACAAAACTTGTCTCTTCACTGCCCCTGCCAAATCTGTGCTGGGCCTCTCTCCCCAGTGTTGCCCAGCCTGCTGCCCTGAGCCCTCGCCTGGAAGCAGAGCAGAGCCCCACGCAGGGCGCTGCCTTCCCCGCAGCTGGTTGTCTGGGGGCGAGGGCATTGGCTCGGGGGGAAGGGGTATATCTTGTTTCTCGCTTATGTCACTTCATCCCAGTTACCTACTGGTTATGGGACTTGGCTTTCGTTTCCCTCTCGTCTCCATGACAGAGCCCACAACTCCAGTGAAGGCCAAGGAGGTGCCCAAGAAGAAGAAGAAACCCTATGGAAAGAAGAGTGAGTGATGTTTGATTAGCGCCCTCCCGCTCGCTCGCAGGCTGGGCCCAGTTAGAGGAACCCTGTCCGTGTCCTGGCAGAGCAGGAGAGAGAGGCCTTGTCTTGTGGATGCCCTCAGCCCGTTTGATGACACAGCTTCGTCCTCCTGAGTTTCCCCTGATACCTAGGAGAGCCGAGAGCTGTTKGTGTGGGAAGGACCTGCTTTGTTTCCTGATTTCCATCAGCTGAGATGTAGATGGAGCTTGCGTTGAGGCATGAGCTGTGCTGCTTTCCCCCCCGTCGTGTCCATGGGCTCAGGGAGATTCTTTCTGTGGGGGGTAGCTAGACAACAACCTTGGCTGCTTTGTCCTGAGGGAAAGAAGGTCTCAAGACAACAGAAGATGCCAGTGGTGGGGCTGGATGATGTTATTGTTTAAGTTCTTGTTGTCGTCGTCGTCGTCATTGTCTTATAGGAGCTGGCTGAGGCAAATCATGAGTAGACAGGCAAGAAACTCCTTGCTAGGGTTAGAGAGGAAAAGACATCTAAAGACACTGAACCAAAATAAAACCTGTTATCTAAAAWTAAAATTATTACTGCTTACAGTAGCCGTGCCTTGGAGCCACCATGCCCATTTCCTAGGGCTAGGCCAGACAGGTAAGCAAAGCTATTAGACTCCAGCAGGACGGAAGTTAAGCACATGCTGAAGTATCTTGCCTTTAATCAGGGAGAAGATGAAGGAGTGTATTTTAAGATGATGAATATAGAGGTTTTTCTTCATTAGACCATTTTTCGAGTAACCAGTTGGCAGCTGCTGAACATGCAGTTGGCTGGCCAGTCTTGTTGGCCTTTGGTTTCTCAGTGGAGCAGGGTTGCTGGTTTTGTTTGGGTTTCTAGAGAGCAGCAGCGCGTTTTGCCTCATACTTTGCTCTCTCTTTGTTAAGGAAAAAAGATACCTGTCAAAACACGCACCATGAAGCAGAACGTCAAGAAGCCGCCTGGTCCGAAGACGAAACGAGAGGCGAAAGCTGCCAGCAAAGCTCTGCCGGAGCCRGCCCCCGATGAGAGTAAGGGAGCGATGATCCGTCCTGCGAGCAGCCTGGGCCTGGACACCCTCAGTTAGGGAGGCGACACAACACGGAGGTGTTGGAAGATGCTCTGGCCCATTCCGGGTCCTGTAGAGGCTGTCGCAGCGCGTGAGCGCAGCCGCTCACGCTGAGCACCGAGGGGTGCCGTGACCAGAAAAGCATTTGGCAGCTGGGTCACTCGCCCAAGCTGGCAGCGGGGAGGAGTGAGGTGCTTTGCATGTGGGTGCAGAGCTTCTTGAGGGTCCAGGTTGCTCACAGAGGTTTTATTTCCCCGCTGGCATTTCCTGCCTCAGCCCTGAGAGGGATGGTTCTGGGGAGCAGACTGCTGAATGCTGCCAGGGTTCACTCCCCTCCTGATTGCTTCCGTGGTCACTGGTTGGTTTGATTCAGCACAACAGGGCTGCTTTCTGGAAGGGATCCCCCAAGAAATGAGTTAGAAACCAGAGGCATTTATGTGTCTGTGTGAGCAGAGCTGGTGCTGAGGTGCTGCAGAGGGAGCATGGGTTGATTCCTCTCTCTCTCTCTCTCTCTCTCTCTCTCTCTCTCTCTCTCTCTCTCTAGTCATTGCTGTGCAGGTGAAAGAAGAAACTATCGACCCCTCCATGGAAGAGTACGGAGTTTCAGAGCTTCCTATTCCTGTCAGCAGCATAAAGCAGGAGGTCACAGACTGAACCTGGAACGTCCCCCTGCTGCCTTCAGCAGCCTGGGCTTCATCGTGTCGCCCTGTTGGGGCAGGCCCTGACAAAGTGGAGCAGGAAGCCCAAGGAGCCCACCCTTGTCAAGGCTGATCACCTGGCAGCGTTGCAGCCCTGCTTTCTGGGCGTGCCAGAGGACTCGTTCCCCTGGAGTTGTTGCTTTACGCCCCGGGGGAGGAGCTCTAGAAGGGCACGAGGCTGACGGACAGACATGAACGGCACAAGTGCCGAGGCCGCGTGCCTGGCTCCAGAGGCGCCTTCCCGAGCGGGAGAGCCCGGCAGCTGCCGCAGCGCCCGGGGCAGGTTGGGCATCTGCCGTGGCTGGAAGGGGAGAGCTTCGCTCTGAGAAGCTGGGTGCGAGTCCTGGCAATCAGGCTTAAGAGCTGCCGTCGCCAAAGGACATCCTTCCTGCACCCCCTCATATCGCCCCTGAGGGAGCTGGGATAGTAAGAGCAAAAGGAGGTGAAGGATGATGCTTCTTTAGGGAGTGAGAGACTTTTTCTATTAAAATAATTTCTTGTTGTTGACTCCAGAGCTGCTGAGCAGTTGATGCACAGGGTTGGTTTTTTTTTTTTTTTTTTTTTTTTTTTTTTTAAGCCTTCTGTAGGGTTGACCAATGGTCTGTATCCTAAAACCCTGTGGATTAAACAGGAAGAAGCCAAAGGCTCCTACATTGTTTTCTGGGTCAGCAAAATACCAGGATTAGCCATGAAGGCAGCTGAAACCAAAGACAAAGGTCAAAGGGCCACTTAGCTCAGGCCCAGGATGCCAAGGCAAGGTCCAAGTCTCAATTCAGAGTCCCCCTCCTGAATCCCCCCCACATCTGCCTGTAATCCTGACTTGGCTTCTCGTTCCCATCCTCTCACCTCATATTTGGTAGCAGCAGCAGCTCTGAGCAGGGGCTGTGCCCCAAAGCGGCTCCCTTTGGCCATGCTCCCTCCACCAACGTAGGGAAAGGATTGCAGCTGGCCCAGGAAACTCAGCTCCTGGCACTTGCTGCCAAAGGCAGAGCTTGCTGCTGCTGGCAGGAAGCTAAATTACTGGGGTGAGTCTTGGAGGGGGAGAAACTGGGCATAGAAAGTAGTTTTTTTGGCTTCTTGCCCTGGCCAAAGTTATGGCCTTTTGCCTTAGCCCACCACCCTCTGAGTCGTAAGCAGTCCCTGGGTGCTTAGTAAAGAAAGGCGATAAGAGAAGGAGGGAAAATACCCATCAGAAGGGGTATTTCCTGGAAATTGGTACACAATTTATACACAAACATAAAAGGTGGGCAAGGGGCTTCTCCGGTGGGAATTCAGGATGAATTCATGAAGCTAACACCAAAAAGGAACACTGGTGCCTTTGGTGAAGGATGTTTGTTTCTCGCTGCGAGTTCTGGAAGTTGGAGTAGCGTAAGAGAAACAAAAGGGGAAGAAAGATGCTTTGGTAGGGATTCTGTGTGTATTTTTGTGTATGCAGCCTGCTGTTCTCTGCGTGATCTACGTTGCCACTGCTGCCAGCTCCCATTCCTGCCTGGAAGGTGCCTGCCTCGCTGCTCCGCACCCTGCATGGCCTCAGGCTTGAGAGACCTGCCCAGAAGGGAGCGCTCCTGCAGGGCAGGCTTGGAAGCTGTTGCCCTGGAGCTGCGGGGTTTTGTGACCCGCTGCAGACGTGAGCACTGAGAGCAGGAACGAGGCCTCTCCTGCTCCCCTCCCCAGTGCCTGGCTCCACCTGCACTCAGCCTGGGGGCCCTCATCCCCCCACGGCCCCAACCACCCCTTCCCTGCCGCCTCCTGCCCCAAGGGAGGGTGTGAGGCACCTTCTCCAAGCCCTGCTTCACACGCCACACACTGTAGAAGGGGCTGCAGGAGCAGGGTGGTGGGCAGCCTCCTGCCACTCCTCCTCGAGCAAGGACAAGGGGGGAAGCGCATGGAGACCTGTGGCTGCAGGCAGCAGAGATGGGGGCAGGTGCTCACTGCTTTTCTGGGGTAAGGAAAGAGGGTGTGAAAGGGTGGAAGCAGCTCTGTGCAGGAGGGCAAAGCAACCAGCGCAGGGCTGAGGGAGCCCTGTGGACAGGGAGGACCCCATGGTCCTGCAGTGTGGGACCTTCCCTTGCAAATGAAGCATCTTCACCCCTCCCAGGGAGGGGCCTTGGGGTAAGGTTGCTATTGCATTTCATAGAAGCATAGAGTCCTTAAGGTTGGAAGGGACCGCTGGAGATCACCTAGTCCAACTGCTCTGCTCCAGCAGGGACACCCAGAGCACGGGGCACACAGTGACATCCAGGCGGGTTGGGAAGATCTCCACAGAAGGAGACTCCACAGCCTCCCTGGGCAGCCTGTTCCAGGGCTCTGTCACCGTCACTGTCAAGAAATGTTTCCTTAAGTTCAGGTGGAACTTTTGGTGCTTCAGTTTGTGGCCATTTCYTCTAGTTCTGTTGGGCCACCACTGAAAGGAGGCCACCCCCCTCCTCCTCACTGCCTCCCTTGAGGTATTTATACACGCTGATCAGGTTCCCCCTCAGCCTTCTCTTCTCCAGGCTGAACAGGCCCAGCTCCCTCAGCCTTTGCTCAYAGGGCAGATGTTCCAGGCCCCTGATCATCCTGGTAGCCCTGCGCTGGACTCTCYCCAGCAGCTCCACATCCCTCTTGTCCTGGGGAGCCCAGAACTGSACACAGTCTCCAGATGTGGCCTCCCCAGAGCTGTGTATAGGGGGAGGATCCCTCCCTCCCGCTCTCCAGTTCAGGGACACTAGCTGTSTTTATGCCCGTTCCCCAAGGGTTTCGCTGGCTCCTGTGGCACTGGCTGGTGCTGCTGCCCTGCGAAGCTCAGGGAGCCGATGAGGGCTTGCAACGAGAGGCAGAGGCACCTCCCCGCAGCTGGAGAGAGGGAAGCGGGGGCTTTAGGACACTGTAACCGCACTGGCTGGAAAGAGGGAAGCAGGAGATTTACAGGAAGCTGTGACCGCACCAGCAGCAACTCAAATTCAGAAGGAAAAATTGGAAGGGCCAAAAAACTTTTGAGAAAGAGAATGAGCCATTGTTCAGGTAGAATGGGTAATGGTTATCCAGACCATCCAGGCAGGGAGCCAGGAGATGGCGTGGCTGCTCTGGAGGCAGGAGGGAGCCTGGAGCAAAGGAGCGCGATGTTTAGAGGGAATGGGACARGAGAGTGAGTTACGTGCCGTTACAGGACACACAGCTCCCCGTGCTGCTGTGGGGCCCACCTGGGATCATCGATGGTTTCGAGGGCTGCAGGGAGCCAGGGTGGCTCTGCAGAGCTGGTCCGTTGGGTCCTGGCCCTCCAGGCGCCAGCACATGCGGGAGATGTGGCCCCGCATCAGGGAGTGACGCGGCRCTGGGAACAGGGCCGAGGCAGCGAGGAGACGGGGGCTGCCCCTTAGCAGCCCCGTACGTGGGGGTCACAGGGTCGGCAGGCGGGGAAAGATCTCGGGCCACATGCCTCTGAGGCAGAGCTGCCTCCCCGGGCAGGAATGGGGCCGGTCAGTGCGGCAGAAGTGATGGAAACCCCTTAGTCGTTGAACTCTCTTGCAGGAGCCCCTCCAGGCTGTCGCCAGGTGAGCCCCACCAGCCGCACMCAGGAAACAGGGCTTCCCTCGGCCGGCCCCTTTGGAGGGGAAAGGCTGCCCAAGGCCGTGCTCCCTGCTCAGCATTCCAGAGGAGAGCCGAGGCTCAATAGTGATAAAGCTGTAGCTGAGGAACAGGGACAATTTTGTAGGGCCATGGGAGCCACCAGCTCGTCCCTGCCCTGGGACATGGCCAGAAAGGGGCCTGGTGGGGACAATGGGGCTTGAGCCAAAGATGGAGGTGACAGCCAAGGAGCTGTTGGTGCAGGGAAGTGGCCTCTCCAACGGCAGTGACAATAAATTCCTGAAACTAAGTAATAAATAACATCACTGCTACCAAGGAACACAGATTTATGGTTGAAGCTTCTTCTAGAACTACGTGTGGGGTAGGAAAAGATAAAAGGAAAGAAAAATGCTTCCATATGGAATTTTGTGCCTATTCTTCTCTGTGCACGCTGACCTTCTATTCTATGCATTCATATACAATTCATTTACACAGTTTACTTTTTATTCATCTTCCTCTTTCCTTCCCCATGGCCCTGCCAGCAGCAGGAGAGCAGGGTCATATCATACCCTCACTGCCAAGATTTTCCTCATGTTCAGATGGAACTTCCTGAGTTCCAGTTTGTGTCCATTGTCTCTTGTCCTGTCCTTGGGCACTACTGAAAATTGTTTGATCCCATCTTCTTGGCACTCACCCTTTGGATATTAGTGTACACTGGTAAGACCATTCTGTCTTCTCCAGGTTAAACAGGGCAACTCTCAGCATTTTTTTCAAGTGAGAAATGCTACATTCCCCTAATCATCTTGGTAGCTTTGCACTGGACTCTCTGCTGTAGCTCCATATTTCCCTTGTAGAGGGGAGGCCAGGACTTGACACAATGCTCCAGACGTGGCCTCACCAGGGCTGAGTAGAGGGGCAGGATGAGCTCCCTCAACCTGCTGGCAATGCTCTTCCTAATGCATCCCAGGAGACCACTGGTCTCCCTGGGCACAAGSGCACATTGTGGTTAACTTGTCCACCAGGACTCCCAGGATCTTTGCCACAGAGCTGCTCTCCAGCAGGTCAACCCCTAATCTGTACTGATGCCTGGGGTTATTCCTCCCCAGGTGCAGGACCCTGCACTTGTCCTTGTTGAACCTCAWGAGGTTCCTCTCTGYYYARCTCTCCAGCCTGTCCAGGTCCCGCTGAATGGCAGCACAGCCCTCTGCTCTAGCAGCCACTCTGTCWGACACAGCCTCCCAGTTTTGTGTCATCAGCARCCTTGCTCAGGGTGCACTCTGCCCCCTCATCCACGTCATTGATGATTCAGTTGAACAAGGCTGGACCCACTACTGATACTGGGGGACACCACTGGCCACAGGCCACTAACTAGACCGTGCCGCTGATCATGTGATCATGTGGGAGATGATGTCCTTGCTGAAGTCAAGGTAGACAACATGCATTGCTCTCCTGTCATCTCTGCAGCCAGYCACTGCATCAGAGAAGGCTGTCTTCAGATTTGTTAAGCGTGATTTCCCTTTGGGGAATCCGTGTTGACTACTCTTTTCCTCCACGTGCTTAGAGGAGACATCTAGGATTTAAAACAGGAGTCCTCTTGTGTTCCCACCGCTGAGAGAGGAGAAATGCAAACCTGGTAACCCTGGRGAATAGGTGGGGAACATCACTCAGGAATAGGATGTGGGAAGAAGTAATTGAATCTTGCAGAGAAAYAGTTTTACATCTGCTTTTATTTAATTCTTAAGCACTTCTGGAAATTCGGGAAATATGTACTCTGGTGCTTAGGTTTAAGTTTTGAGGCAGAGGAGGCTACTATGTCAGTGCCTTTGGCAGCCCCTGTCTGGGTTCTTCAATGTTTTCTGAAGCTGCTAAAGCACAATCATCAATACAATATCCCTAAAAGTTTATAGACAAACCTTCTTGGATTACACCCGTTCTACAAAGGCAAAGGAAAACTAACAAACAAAAAAACCCACCACCACCACCGAAATAAAAAAAGAAAAAGCAGTTGGGCATTACACCTGTCCTGCATGGATGGTAAAACCTTGTGCAAATAATTATCTCATTTTGCYTCATTCCATTTTGGTGTCTAAACGAAGCATGTTGCAAATACTACCAAAGCTGCTGACCTGCTTCTTCCTGCGTTATTGTGACTCTCTCCTGTTGTGCATCAACAAGACCTGGATCCCAGATCCTCGGTCAGGACAAATCAGCACCAGTTTGGTTGTGCCAGGCTCTCTCCTTTGTGCCCTCTACAATATCCAGGTGGCTGCAGTGGAGGCGAGCCCAGGAAAACTGCTCTCACTAAGCTGCTTTCTGGTAGGGATGGTCCCATTGTGTCCTGTGCTCTTTTCCTAAGCGTTGCTCTTCTTGGGGCCCCTGGCCAGTGTTTTTTCCAATCTCTTTTGCTTGCCGGGCTTGCTTGCAGCCGTGGCCTTGTTGGGACTGGCTCTTGAAGCCTTGTYCCGGGCCCAGCCAGGGCAGCTTTGGAAGATGGTGGAAAACTTCACTTTGTGGCCCCGAGCTTCAGCAGGGGACCCGCAGGTGGCCCCCACGCGGAGGTTGAGTTTGTCAATCCACCTGGAAAGTGTCAGGAAATCAGAGAAKGGAGTGGGAAGGTGCCAAGGCAGAGGTGAAGCTCCGTGCCTGCGACCTGGGGCGGGTTTGGGCCACCTCCTGCCACGTTGTAACCCCTCATCTGCACTGAGGGCATCGGTGCTGGGCCCACAGYCTTGGGGATGACGAAGCAGCGGGGGCCCACCCAGAGCATGGGGACGTCTGCCCTGTGTGCAACCACCAGACRTCTCTCATGGTTGGGCACGGCCCARAGCAAGCACAGGGGCACAGAGCCGATGTCCTTTTGGAGCGACACTTCCCGTTCARAACCATAGAGAGGTTTTGGTCAGCTGAGACCCGTGCAGGGGTCCAACCCCTACTCAGAGCTGGATGAGGTTGCTCAGGGCTTTGACCGGATGAGTTTTGAGTTTCTCCAAGCATGGAGATCCCACAGCTGCTCTGAGCCAGTGCCTGACCACCCTCCCAGGGCAAGTTTTTCCCTATTTGTTATTTCATTATCCTTCCCTATTTCCCATGGGCCCTACCTCTCTGCAGAGCTCACCTGTGCAGGGGAAGGAGCTGGCAGTCGCAGTGGAAAGGGACATCTCGCAGGTTGAGGATTTCCAGCCCCGTGAAGCGGCGCATGTCAGGGACATGACTCATTTTGTTGCTCTCCAGGTAGAGACTTTTGACCTTGGGGCCAAGGCCAGCAAAAGCATCCGAGGAAATCTGCAGTGAAGCAAGGATGAGTCAAAGATAGTGTCTATGGGAGCAGGGGAGCAAATCTGTGCACATGCACACTGTTAATCCCTACAGCCTGGGGAGAGTGTGAAAGTCTGTGCTGAGTCTGTGCTGAGTCTGTACATGGAAAGGTTGTACATGGGCTTAAGCTGCTGCAAGGAAGGGATGGTTTAATTAACTTAATCGGGTCACATTTTATGAATCACTACAGTGACTCCTTGGTGATRTAAAAGGGGCCTGATCCTTAAGGGGATGGTGATAACATGAGTTTTTGGAAAAGAGGAATTCACAATAATGGCAGTGAAGAATATGAAGAAAAAGTGACAAGAGAAGGAGGCATACGGCCAAGCAACTGGGAGGAGGACTCTTTGGGAAGAGGAGCTGTGGGAATGACCTCAAGTCCATTGAAATGAGCAGCAGCCTGTTTGTTTCATTAAGGAATGGTGGACAAAGCARTGAGGGATGTGGAAGGACCTGTGACTGCCCAGACGGCTGGGTGAGGAAGAGAGACCGACCCTGGGGAGATGCGTGTTGGACCCAGACAACGCTCAGGCCAAGCTTGAGGAAGCACCTCCTCTTGCCTGGACTGTGGAGCATCCCCCAAACCACACAGTGGGAATTTGGGGGTGTCCACAGGGCAGAAGCTCTTGGAGAGGCCTGGCTCCATGGGGAGGGATGACATTGGACTCCATGGCAATCTCTAGGCACATCAGCTTTATGGGGCCAACCTGCCCCCTTTGTCTAGGGAATCCCCCCTCTTTTACACACCCGCTCCAGGCCCATGTTGTCCAGGTAGAGGTGCTGCAGGGTGCTGGCCACAGGCAGGAATGCATTGGCGCCTATGGACTTGATGGGGTTCTTGGAGAGCTTCAGCTCGCTGAGGGCAGGCAGCCCCCAGAGAGACTCTGTGGGCACTTCCCTCAGGCGGTTTCCATCCAGGTGCAGCTTCTCCAGCATCTTGGCAGGGCTCAGGGTCGCTGGGGATATGTGGCTGATGGCGTTGGCTGTCAGGTAGATCCAGCGCAGCTTCTCCATGCCCTCCAGGTCGCCCTCAGACAGTTGCCCAATGGCGTTATGCTGCAGGTGGAGGGAGAAGAGGCTGGGGAGGAGCCTGAAGGCGCCCTGGGGTACCCGGGTGAAGCTGTTGTGGTCCAGGTACAGGTAGGCAAGCTGGGGAACACCRTCAAAGGCAGCGGCTTCCAAGGCAGAGAGGTTGTTGTTGGAGAGGTAGAGGTAGACCAGCTTCTCCAGGCCCTGGAATGCCCCGGGCTGCAAGGAGGTGATTTTGCAGCTCTGCAGGTGGAGCGAGACCAGCCTCTTCAACCCGGGGAAGGAGCCCCGGGGCACAGCCCCGAAGTCGTTTCCATGCAGGTCAAGGAGCTGGGTGGTGCTGGGGAAGCCCCGGGGGATCTCCTGGAGGTTCCTGTTCTCGCAGCTGCCGTGCTGGAAGTCCAGGGAGCAGGCGCAGCCCACCGGGCACTTCCTTCTCCCGGCCTCCTCTGGCTGCCCAGCAGGGGCAGTGGGGCTGGGGGATGGCCCGGCCCCTTCCAGGTGGTGCCCACACCTCATGTCCTGAGGCCTGAGCAGCTCCAGCTGCCGTCCCCGGAGCGCCGGGGGGCCGGCACACGCGGCCTCCACGTTCACGCGCGCCCTCCCCATCCACTCGCGGAAGGGGCGCAGGCGGCAGGAGCAGAGCAGAGGGTTCCCAGCCAGGAGGATTTTTGCCACGCCGGCCGGGCCAGCGAGCGGCTGGAGCCCCTGCAGCTGGTTGTTGTGGAGGTCCAGCGTGCGCAGCTGGGGGCTCCTCACAAAGGCCTTGTGCGAAACGTCCTGGAGAGCCGCGTTGTCCAAGAAGAGGTGCTTCAAGGAGGCCATGTCAACGGCCTCCTCGGTGATGTAGGTGATGGGGTTGTGGCCCAGATCGAGGCGTGTTGTCCCAGACAGCCTTGACAGAGCCTCACTGGGGAGCGCCTGCAGTTCGTTGTGGTCCAGGCTCAGCCTCCTCAGGGTGGGCAAGCCAACGAAGGCCTCGTTGCCCAAGACATGAAGGGCGTTGTGGGACAGGCGGAGCCACTTGATCACCTGCAGACCCTGGAAGACCATGTCTGGGAGGTAGACGAGGGCATTCTCACCAAGGTTGAGGAAGTTGAGGAACCCCAGTTGGCCAAAAGCACCYGGCTGGATCTCCTCAATGCGATTCTTCTCCAGGATGAGCTGTTGGAGGAAAGACAGCCCATCCAGAGACTCCTGGTAGATAACGGATATACTATTGGAGGCCAGGTTGAGGTAGACCAGTCTTCCCAGTCCTCGAAAAGCTCCCTCCTCAATGCTCTCCACCTTGCAGTGCTGCAGATTTAAGTGTGTGAGGTACGGGATATTGAGGAAGGCTCCTGCAGGAATGACCTTCAAATTGTTGCCTCGGAGATCTAGTTTTTTTGTGATCTGTAGGTAACACAAGGGTGAATTTATTCCAGGGGTAAAATGCCAAGCTTCCCCCACTCCATCTCCTGCCCCCAAATGGCCTAATACTTCAGTTGACCTGCGGGATGGTGCTGGGTATCTCCGTGAGGTTCCTGTTGAGGCACAGGACGTGGGTCCTGATGTTGTCGCAGACACATGCCGCCGGGCAGCGGCTGGCAGCTGTGTCCTGCAGCACGAGCACAGCTGTGAGGAGCGGGAGGCCCAGGAGAAGCCCCATCGTGGATATCACCTGCAGCCAGAGGAAACGCACCGTGAGGGGAAGGAGCCCTCCTGACAGCAGTGAAATCTGTGYGGATCTGGTGTTTACCAAACCTCACAGCAGCAGGTCTGGGGGCACTAGCAGGGAAGAGGCACAGCTAGACAAAGAAAGCAGTTTTTGTGCTGCTGCAGACTGGGAACTTCTGGACTTTGCTGTGCCGGGAGGCGATGGAGGCGGCCAATGCCAGAAGGGACAAAAGGGACTGGATAAGCTCACAGGCAAAGGCCGTGCTGCTGAAGGGGAGAGGCAGGGCCGTCCCGCCATCCCCGCCCTGTGCTGCCATGGGGCACGGAGCTGCAGAGCGGCTCCCACAGCACCATCAGCTGCTGCCACCGTGGGCCGCCGACTGGTGCTGGGACGTGTGGATTGCTCCTCAGAGCCATGGGGCAGCTCCCATGATAGCCTCTGGCTCTAGAGCTGTGCTTTCCATGGGTTATAAGTGAAGGAGACAGAGAAATAAATATTTCACGTTAGGTTTTAAGCTTTACCTCAAGGATCGCTGATAGCAGGTCCCCTTTAGGACATCAGTTTTGCCTGGGTTGTCTAGATTCACTTAAGGAGGAGCCCACCAGGAGCCAAGGTCAGTGAGGAAGGGGCTCTTCCTTCCTTGTGGCTAGCATAAACGTCTCATGATCTGTATGGGATAGCAGTGGTACGAACGCGCCTTTAGCTGCTCCTTGGCAAGGCAGGCAGCCCCTCGAGCTCCGCGTCGCAAACGCGCTTTCCCCGCACRCCGCGGTGCCTCGGCGCGCGGGGCTGGCTGTGGGCCGCGCTGCGGCCGGGCTGCGCGCAGGCTCTGCTAAGCCGGGGCCAAAATCACCTCCAGCTACGCGGCGTGTTTGGCACTGATGATATCCACTGCTAACCCGGCCGAAGCAAATCAGGGCTCTGCAGGAAGAGGGACGGGGCTGCTTTTGGCAGGGCTGAGTGTGAGGTGGCAGCGAGAGCCCCTCTGCGAGGAGGTGCCGGAGAGGGGCCGAGGCTGCGGCAGCCAAGGAGGCGCTGCCGGAACCGCGGCCGAGGCCCCCCAGGTGCAGGGACAGCAGCAGCAGGGCCTGGCGTAGCTAAAAGCCACCTAAGCAGGGGGCCCCTGCCCCATCCACGCACCCCTGGCTCCGTCCTCCCGCCGCACACAGAGCCAGCGGCCACCGGCGAGTGCCCCGAGCGGTCCCCAGGGCTTGACGTGCGTCCCGGCCGCCGCTGTCACCCGCGGCGCTGCCACCCCGGCCGCACTCACCTGGGGCTGGGGTAGCTCGTGCCCAGGGGCTGCGGAGCGGGAGCTGCCCGAGTCCGTGCCCGTGTCCGGCGGCGCCGCTCCGGCCGCCTCCCCCGTGCCGGCGCTGGTATTTACTTTTCCGAGCAGGAGCGAGCGCTGAATGGGCCGTTGTGCCGCACTCCAGCAGCGCTCCCGGGACGGAGCCAGCAAAAGGGGGAGGAGGAGGCTGGAGGGAAGGAAGGGATGAGCCCCTTGGGGACAGGGCAGGGACCCCGCGGGTACGTCCTGCTACTGCGGCAGAGGGAACCCRTGTCCCCGGAGCAGCCAGCGTGGCGGGTGGGAGCACCAGCCCGGGAACGAGTGTCACATTGAGGCTCACCATTTTCTGCGCCTGGCCTTGTCTTTCCTGTCTGCATAACTCACAGGAAACGCAACTGTCCGGGGCAGAAAGTCACCACCCATCGAACGGTGCAACTGCAGCAGTCCGGCTGAGCAGGAGCCGTGCGGCTCGCACGCAGGGACCCCGGCGCCTCYCAGCGCCATCCCTGAGCGAGACCGGCTGCACAGGCATCCTTCCCTTCTGCAGTTTCATCCCTTTTTGAGTTCCCTAGTTCTGTTTATTTGCTTGTTCCAAGGTGGGAGTGCACRCGTGAAGGGTCATTTCCTCGCAGACCACCTTTGCTTGCCTCCCTGCCTCTGCTATTCCATTTGTTTTCTTTCTCCCCAGRGAGGTATTTCATTCTCCTGGGGAACATGAGCTGATCTACAAAAAACTTCCACTCAGCAGTGAGCTCGGATAAGTGCCTGGGAGGCCTGGAGGCGAGTCTGCCAGGGGAAGAGGTGGCCGGTAAAGGAGCRGGAGGAGTTTCCCCCTCCTTTCTGCAGGCAGTCCTTTGCTGTGGGCCGGCAGGGGCAGGCACGTGTGGGCCAGGCTGGCGAGGGGGCCGCRGCTTGGGCTGCTCAGGCGGCGGCTGTGCCCCGGCCTGGCACGTTCCCCTGCGCCTCCCGCCTCCGCCGGCTCCGGAGAGGGGTGGCTTCCCCTCTGCCCCTTCTCCYGCTCCTGCTTCCCAGAGCCCCCCRGCCCTCACCATAGTTGTCCCATCCYTGTGCGCTCCGGGATGGGGAGCGCTCCTTGCCTCCATGGTGCAGGTTCCAGTCCCAGCGAGCTACCCCTGGAGCTGCCGATGGGTGAGYGCAGGGAGAGGCGGCTGTGCCAGCCTGGAAGCAGAGCCGGGACACGCTGGTGGTGCAGGCGGAGCGGGCACCAGCCTGTTGGTCCTCGGCGCTCACTGCCCGCAGCAAATCACGGAGACCTGGCTGTGGGGATGGYGGCTGGCTGCCTGCCCACGCCTGGTGCTGAGGTTGGCACGCGCTGTGCTGAACASCAGCTCCATGGCACGGCTCCTGGCCATGAGTCCAATGGGGAAACGCAGTGGAAGGCAGCCAGGTGCTTGAACCTCATGCCTCTCCCGGCGCCCTTCACTTTCTCCTGGTCATCTGCATCCTTTCTCACCRCACACAATAGGAGGAAGCCACCAGCGCAGGCTGTGCTTCCTCGCGGGCKGCACGGGAGGCGAGGGGAGGGAAGCTGCAGCGCTCCGTCGCTGGGCTCTTTCGGAGGGAGGCGAAGGTGCTGCGGGCGCCAGCCAGCCCGACAGCCGCCGCGGCAGGTAACGCCCGGGCGCCAGCCGGCACTGCCGCCCCTCACGGTGCCGCGTGGGAGGGCGACGGGCAGCGAGTCGGGATGTGGCGGGAGATGTGACGGGCCCTGGGCACTACCTGCTGCAGGAGGGTGTCATCGGAGGCGGAGATGCAGCAAGGGAGATGCTGGAGTTGCACTCACCGAGCAAGAGAGCTGGGGAGGTTGGCAAGGCTGCGAGGGGCTGTGGGCTTGCTGCCCACCTTGGGGCCGGAGGAATGGGGGAAACGAGAGGCAGACGGCGCAGCAGGCGCTGCGGGTGCTCAGGGGCGCGCTGGAGCTGCAGCGCCGCGGGCTGCAGCCGGGCACCGAGTACCGCGTGCGCGCAGTGCCCTGGCGCGGGCGGCCGTGGCCGTGCTCCGGACCGCAGCAGTGCACAGCAGGCTGGCATCGCACGGCCCAGGGGCGCCCGCCCGACACCCACCCCTGGGCCCCGGGCACCAGCACCTCTGCCACCCTCCTCATCCTCGCGGGCCTGGCCCTTGGGCCCTGCTGCGGCTGCGGCTGCCTTCCTGGTGCTACTATGACGAGCACGAGGCGCCCCTGCGGCACACGGTGCCCCACAAGCGGCCACCCACCGTGGGGACGAGGGCCCCGGAGCTGCGGGCAGATCCCGCTCACTGGCAGCCGCCCGCAGCCCCACGACACCCCCTACGTGCCCCCGTGGAAGAGCCCAGTGCCGAGGCGCTCCTCGGCCTCCTGGCGTCCGGGTCTGCCCTCTGGATCTCCCCTTGGGATGTGCATGAAAACTGAAGCTGCCAGGCTGCTGGATGAAGGCTCGGTCAGTGCACAGCTTGTGACTGCTCCTCAGAAATGGGGAATTTTCCTAGTGTCCCTGCGGGAATTTTTGCCGTTATTGTTTCTTTACCCAGGCATGTACTTATTCCAGAGGTGTAGGAAGGGAGTCATATATTCCGGAGGTGTAGGAAGGGAGTCGTTTTTGCTGTCTCTGGCCCCGCGCAGCACATGAGGTGAGCACACTTCACCATGGACGGTTTTACTCTACCAAAGGCCACCTCTACCAGGCCTGAGGAAGCAGCCGAGGGGCTCCGGCAGCTCAGGGAAGGCCAGGTGGCAGCTGTGAGCAGGGAACACTGCGGCAGAGGACGCAGTTCTGTCCTGCCCTTCTCACTGCTGTCCTCCAAGCTCCATCACCCCTCCGTGGAGCAGGCCTCCCCGTCAGGGCACCAAGCAGGGCAAGCAGCACCCTGCGCTCTCGGAGGGGACACCCGTGCCAGCAGCTGGCTCTGAAGCAGCGCCGAGGCTCGACGGGAGCTCCAGGACCCCGTGGGAGAGACTGGGCGCCCGCCTTCGAGCAGCACCAGGGCTAGCGCTGGCCGGCAGCCCCCAGGTGAAGGTGTCACCTGAAGGTGACACCTTCGCAGTGACGAGGGGTCCTGCAGCAAGGCGCCGTCCAGCTCCACTCCCTTGGGATGCCCCAGGGGAGACCCTGGGCAAAGGGGAACGTTCCCTGCAGGCATCACCCTGCAGCAACTGCCCAGAAACACCAACCACGCAGCTCTGCTGCTGGGGGGACCTGGCAGGCAGTGGGGCACCTTCCTGCTCCTGAGCACCTTTTCACCTTTCTCAAGCCCATTAACTGCTCTGACTTGTCTGGCTACAGCCCAGGACAAGGCATCAAGAGGCAACTACCTTCTAAGCCCATGAAGGTATTTCTGAGGCACCCAAGGGCAATAGTTTCAGATGGCTCCTGTCCTGCAGGACAACACCCTCCCCCATAGAGAAAACAGAGCAGGAGTGACCCYCCCAAAAGAGCAAAACCAAACATATAGAAAGTGAGATGCATAAAGAGGCCATTTTCACCCTCAATTTTCATTAAATATCTTTGCTTTCCATTTAAGAAACCATTTTATCTTTTCACAAGACCACCCGTCCTCCTCCGTTCTCGTCACTTGCTCCCCCTGAAGCGGTGCACTGCTCACACGCATTGTTACACACTACTGCAGCACCTCCTTCTCGTTACTGATGCTGTTTGGCCGGACACATAAAGCTCAGATTAAAAATATTCCCTTCAGAAGTGGTGCTCTTGGAGCGAGTTGGTTGCGCAAGAGGATCTGGAACAACACTGCAATGAACACTCAGTCCTTCAATGCAGCATTGGGAGCTTATCGTTCTTTAGGAGCAATTCCTAATACAAACAAGGGTTAGAAAATCTTTTTTTTTTTTTTTTTTTTTTTTAGACTGACACATAAGCCCACTCTAAGGAAGTTCAGTCTCCATGTCCCACCCACCCAGGAGTAAATCTGCCTGCACACTGTCACATCCATGCCATATGTCCTCCCTTGTCCTGTAGATATCCAGTCTGGATACCAGGGCCAGCAGAATCCTTAAGTTTTGTTTGCCTGCAAAAGAAGCTCTAGTTGGAATCTCACAGGCATTACATTTTTACAGCTTAACCTCCTAAAATCTCCTTGCACAGGCACAGACCTAATGGCTGGAAACCACAAGGYGGCTGAAGACACAAGATGAGTGGGTCAGTACACCTCTATGTCCTTTGCCCGTGTCTATCCCATCCCAGGAAGGGGCAAGGGGAATGACAAGAGGCCAGGTTGCTTCAAGAAGGGCTGTAYCAGGCTCAAGCCTTTAAGAAAATACAGATCCTTTGGTCTTGTTTTCCCTCCTCAAGCTCATGGCAACACTTACATCCTGCTGAAGAACAGGGATGGGATTCGGCAGAGGAGACAGGGCTCAGCCTGAGAGCTGGGGCTGAAGCACTTTATGTACCTGCAGGTACCCTAACTCCAGGTGATTCCAGCAGGTTGGAAAYCAAATTCCTACCTTCTGCACAGAAGCTGTGAGAAAATGGCATGCCCTTGGCAGCCTCTGTGAGGAGCTGCAAAGCGACACCGCTTTCCAGAGCCTGCTGGAGGGCAGCGCCCGCAGCTTCCCAAACCCTCCCCGCTTCTACCCACCTTGAGCAAGGCCCGACGTGGAAGAACTCGAGCAGAGATTCCATGGATGCAGGCCTTACACATCCCACAGTTTATTTAGCATAGTGACCCAAACGCTTTCCTCTGTCAATGGCACCAGTGTTTCCTGCAGCCCCCTGCCAGCTGTGGCACGGGCTGCCTCTCGCCCCAGAGGGACAGCGAGGCCACCCCTCGCAGGGCCACCGACCTGTGCTGCGAGCCCCGTCCATGCTGCGCCTCGGCCGCGAGGTCAGGCGAGAGAAGAGGAACCTCCTCCCACCAGAAACAGGGAAGACCAGGAGGAGCTGACAGACAAACTCTTTGCCCCCCAAAGAGCAACAGAGGAAGGGATTCCTAGAGGCCTGAAAAGGTATGTGACGGATGTGGGAACGGGACCAGCCTCTGAATCACCTCGAGTGCTCCCAGGTCGTGCAGGAACCATCGCTCCACATGTGGGCACAGGAGCAGTGAATGGCACCAGCTTCTCCCTTGGTGCCAGCAAAGGGCCAGCTCTCGCCGAGGACAGCCGGGGCGGCCCTGCCTCTCTGGGCTCTCGCACCGCGCTCGGCTTGCGGAGTTGCAAACAGCCCCCAGTGAGGCACACAAGGGAGGAGATAAGGAACCCGTTCCACGGGGATTTCAGGGATGGTATGCGCTTCTGAACCTAGCCCGTTTTAATTAGGAAAAGAGGGGTTAGGAAGAGGGAAAGGAAGGGAAGAGGGAAACAACACAGGCGCTAGCGAAGGAAAAAAAAAATCCAAAATTGTTCCATTAAGCGATGGCCACCATGAAGCCCCACTACGCCGATATCCAAACCACAGCAGCTGTAGTAC